CATACTAAGTCAGTATCACTTAATTATGGTAATCAATAAGTTGTTAGTGAGATTCATTGCACAAGCGACTTTAATTGGCATTTACTGAGTGTAAACACGTACTAGGTTATCAGATGATTTTCGCAAAACTACGCAGTTGTTCGTTATAAAAGCAACGCAAGTATCATTGACAAGATCAAGCAAAACAGTATTTTTTCTGATATAACTGAGAGAAAAATTTTGTTTCACTTCTCTCTAGGAGTTTCTTTGAAACTGCACAATAATGGAAAATCTGATGTTAAATCTACTTAGCTTCCCAATTTGGTTTAATTACGGCTGAAAAAATTTCGGTCATTCCAAATAAGGACGGATAAATCAATCAAACGCTGATGTGAAAATCAAAGCATCAGTTTGACAGCAATAAATGCACTTCTGTTGCTTCAAACTGAAATCTCCAAGGTAATGGATTGTCTTCTAATCAACCCGATGGTAAAAGTTAAGCAATTATGAATACAGTTTAGAAATCAAATCTTTTCACGCCTCAGCAGTTTTTGTTGCCTTGGGAACAGAAGGAAGTATCCAATTAAAGGTAATGAACGACCTCGTTTCCAATAACTCGTACCGAATGACAGCTGTAAACGATACGTGGAAAATATACGGGTGCATTGACTCCAGTTTGATACAGAGGTTATGCCGCAATCATAGCGTCGTAACAGGCAATGTAACAGCAGTGTTTCTTTTAACTACAACTAGAATTACCATAATTTTATCGTAACATGTAAATAATTAATAAGAAATATATCTCATTATTATCCTTCAGTGTCATATTTTGAGTGGCATTTTTATGAACACACGCAGAGGCGTTTTCCGATGTTTGCTTTGGGTAATGTAACTGCAATACTATAGTTCGACCGCCTCATCCGCGACCATGAGCGCAAACACGCATGCGCCATTCGGACCGAATTATTCTCAGAATAGTGGTGGAAGGATGGGGACTTTCTTTCCCTCCAGCATAGCTCTTTCCGGAGAAGACCTTTCATGTCGCAGCAAGTAATATTGCCCCTTTTGGACGAGTCTATGTGTTTTGGCAGAATGCCAACCAGGGTTGCGCTTGAGACGGTCGAACTAAACTTGTAGTATTCTTTCATTAAGCAGATAGTCCTCTTATGGTGTTGTTGTTATGACGTATCTCACTTGTCTGATAGCAACATCAGAGCAAGCCCATGGAATTCATCGTGGCAAGAAGTGCCAGATTGCGCTGTCTTTTGGCAACAGCTTTGAACACCATACTACTCAGTTCCGCCCCCAATTTTGATAGAGAGCACCCTGGAAGAACGGATCCGAGAGTCTCCCATCAATCTTTCGAGAGGACTTTCGGCTCGCCGTATATTTGTCTCCATCCCGCACAGACACTATACATTTACAAACAGCCATACCTTCTCCGGGATTCGAACACGGTCCCTTCCGGTACGGGAGTTAGAGGCACTAACGACCATCCTGGTTGGGCGTAGTACTCTTATGTAACATTCAGTAACGTTTTTTCGATGGATAAATGGGCCGATAAATTCTCGATGGCCATTTAACACTAGTCCTATAAGATAGTAAAGTAAGATAGGCATAAACTAGAAATCATCACATATTCAATACAATCAGTCTGATTAATGACTTATTAATAGCATAAAAGACTAAAAATCTTAAAATGTTCAGATTTCAACGACAGCCCAAAAGGATTTGCTAAGTTTTTTTAAGCTTTCGCTGAGCTCGCAATCTACCAGTCAGCTGTTTCACTCACTCTCCTGTTAACCCACTTCTTTTTTGTCTATTTAGCTTTCTTATTAAGAATCATTTTCTTCGCACATAACACCATATACAATTCAACAGCAAAATTGTAAAAATTTTAAAAGCAGCATAGAAGCATATGCTTAGAATTCCTGATGCATTATTAAGTGATGCCATGTGCAGTTTTCTTAGTAATATAGCTTGCAAAAAAAAAAAAAAAAATCTTATTATTATTATCGTTTTGTGCGTTAACTTTATTCATTAAATATCGCACTTACTCTACGAAAAATTCAGTTCAACATAAAAAATCACAAAATATTTAAAAATAGTGTATCTTTAGAATTTCCGATAGAGATTCTCGCGCGATGGAGATGAATGTTCCATTCAGTGTTGCCACTTCTCGCTTTAATATCGTTGAGTCTGCTGATGAAAAGTGCATTAGTTCAAAATTTTACAAAATATGCAATTTAAAATTCGGGCTTCCTGGTGTGTATGTTCAGGTTGAGGACTGCGTTATTCAAAATTTGATGGCTCTAGCTTAACATAATTTTTTTCACAGTGTGAGGAATGGGCATTCATTCACACGGATTCTTCATTTTTTAAATTTTTTAAAAATAATACAAGGCGATAATACTTGCTAGCAACAATTTGGAAAGTGATTCGTTGCTTATAGTGGACGACTTAAAGTCCCGTTTCGAGAACAATGTTCCATTAGAGCCAACCCTCTTTTGGGCTAATAATTGTCAATTAATTGTTTTAAATCTATAAAACTAATGAAAATATATGTATATATTAATTTTAATCGAAAATTTATAACACAAATCTATAAAACTAATGAAGGAAAGTGTTTTTCTTAATTTTTATTGAGAAGAAAAGAAAAAGGAAAAAAACAAAGAGAAAAAACTCTGAAAGTATTCAGATAATAGCGTTGCACCAGAGAGTTTTCGGCACACATTTTTGGATTTTTATTATTAACTTTTATCTTTTTAACCTTTCTTATACAACATTTCTTCTTACTTACTCCGCATAAAATTTAATAGCAAAATCACAAAATATTGGAAAATTCTTTAGAATATCGGATACGGTGTTGCCATCCTTTTTTAACAAATGATATATTATTTCCTTAAAAAAATATAAGGCGATAACATTTGGTAGAAACATCTTTTTGTATGTTCTTTCATACTTTTTTTTAAAATTTTCATTATCTTTAAAAATAATACATGGGGATAGCATTTGGTGGCAACATCCTTTTATCTTAAAGAGATAAGGATAAAAAATAAGAATAGAAGATAATAATAAATAATTTTTAATATAAATTATATGAATAATTTTAATTATAATTGAATATATAATAAATTATAATTGAATTAATTAAATAATAATTGAATGATAATGTTTAAAATTCAAAGTTATGGTGAAACGTAAGGTAATATTAGCATTATATACCGCAGATTTCTTTTAAATGTATATAAAACATTCCGTGAACTACTAAAAATTGATTAAATTTAATGTTTGTTCATTTATTGATTTAACTGAAAGAAATCAAAATTCCTGAAAGCTTTCTACCCAAGGGAACGAATGTCTTCATGGAGAAATTTCTATTCAAACGAATGTACAGCATGAAATAATAGGACACCGACCTCGTTTTTCCGGTGAAGGCTCTGAAGAGTTCGAAATAAATGAAGAACTAAAATATATTCTTAGTTAGAATTTTGACGAAAAATATGCGAATATATAAGTTATTTTAGTTAAAAGTTCAAGTTTTCAAATGTCAAAGTAGTTGTAAATAATTAACGTAGAATTAATTACACATTTAATAATTAAAATTTCACCATTTATACATGTGTTTATTTGTAATGAACAATTTAAAATTTTCTAATATTAATTTTAAAAACTAAATTTTCTATCTAGGGAATTTGTTATTTATTTGTATATTTTTAGAGAACATTACTGTTATTTTTGGATCGTAATGAAAGTTAAAATAATTATTTTCAGCTTAAAACTTGATAAATTTATAATACTCTTATGAAAAGAACGTCACTCACGGTAAAAGAATGCAAGCATTATTTGAAAGAAAACCACACAAAATAACAAATTCATGTGTGCGGCCCTTTCATAAATCACACACTTTGAACTGTTACTATATATAAGATGACATGTTCTGACACTGTAAGAGCAACAATATGTTCAGCAAGGCCGCCATTTGACATTATAAGGCTGCTTTCACACATCCGTTTGTTTGGGACGAACAACAGTTTGGGACAATTTTTCCGCTTTGTCACAACAGCCAATCGCCACAGATTGCTTTGAGGTTAACACGGGGAAAACTGGTTCTCCATTGCAAACAAGCTGATAGCTGAATGGTTGAAAACGAACAACTTGCATTTTTTTTCCGAAAGGAAGAAAAAAATCGCACTTCTTTCTTTCAAGAGTAAGCCAGGCAGAAAACTTGTCCAAAACAGTAGTTCGTGTGAAACAAGTTCGTGTGTGATATGGGCTCATTAGAGACATACTTTTATGGGCAGTGTCAAGACGATATGTACTGTGTCTAACAACAAGGCCTCTCGAATTCAGGGAGTGACTAACCAATAATCCTATAGCTCCTCTGATATCGCCTTCAACTATAACGAATCAGAGGACGTAAGATATAACAGAAAAATTTAAAGGGCGTGACTAATTCAGTCTGCAGACTGTACTCCACAGAGAAAGCGCAGAAAATTCTCCAAGGCTCTCGGTATAGACGCTCACTAAAGACGAAAGAGATTCTTGCCACTAGCAGGATTCCCACATAATGAGGACGATAATTTAACCTTCTCGTAATTTGCTCCTATGCATTTAATATTAATTGTCAATTGTCGTTACTGTATGGTTTACAGAATTATCGTAGATGTATAATAAATGTTTTTTTAGTTCAGTATGCTAACCTAACCTAATCGCAAACCATTCAGCTGCCAATCACCTGCATGGAGTCGCCCCAATAGAGCCCCAGTTCCCCACATCCACCAATAATAATTACATAGACATTGATCGAATAGATGCTTTCGAATCTAATGTGAAACACTCTATTCCCAAAGAAATTCCATCGAAATCAGCTCATAATTTTCTAATATTCTATCAAATGTTTCTGCTGTTTTCTTATCAAAAAGTTTAGTTATTTACATTACTAACTTCGAGGATTTTTATCATTTTTTTCTTTACAGGCTTTAAAATTATTTGTTATAAAGTGAATTATACTTTTTCAGCGTGACAATGACCACGTGTTCGACCATCGCAGCTTTGGGAATGATGCCCCTAAATATGTGGGTATACGGTCAATGGCTAGAGACAGGAGCTGTAACAATACCCTACAGCAAGATGTCCATCTCCCTGGCATCCGTAACGGCCCCTGTTGGAGCAGGCATGTTTGTCAGATGGAAGTATCCGAATGCAGCACCCTACATTACAAAGGTACATTAGAATACTTACTTTTACACTACTGTTTTACAAAATTGCTATGTTAATGTTTACCCCAAATACAATGTATTTGAATTTTAAAGACAATAGAATCGGAAGATATAAAAAGGGGCTATTCACGAAGTCAAATTTTGCAGCAGCAACAAAAAGCTATCCCATTCCTGAGAAGAATGTCAGAAGACGTTTGGAAAACGACGAATTTCATGGATACTAGTTTTATCGATCTCATAAATTTTTGTTAATTTCTGATATTCTTGTAAAGAATGGGAGAGGTGTTTTTGTTGTTGTGTCTTTGAAATTTGACTTTTGTCACATAGCTCTTTTCTACATGTTCCGATTCAATTGAAATGTGAGAACTATTCAAGTTGTGAAGTTGAAGTTGGAAATAAGTACATTTCTCTCAAATTTCAAAATCTCGCCCCGCAATTAATTACGAAGATAATAGTGCAGAAAGTTCAAGGCTAAAACATTCGTCACTAAGCTGCACGCAGATGACTACTCAGAGCCAAATGCATAATGCCCATAGAATTATAAATGTAATAATTGTGTAAATATATACAAAAATTTTCAATTAAATTTACTAGAAATTATATGAAATGGGTTCTTATGAACCATATCAGTTAGAGATACTAAAGAATATCGATATTGAAAGAAGTACATGTGTGTTGCTTTTATAGTTTAACTTTTAAATAATTACGATGATTTTAATTTAAAAGATAACTTAAAGGTTTTATTATATGTAAAACGGTAACTCTAGCCGGGCCGCGCACCATTGATTGCTTGAAGTAGGATTGCATAAACCTTTGTTACCACATCTAGTTTTTATATTTTTACGCTCTTGATAATAGCAAAGGAACAAAGACATTTATTGGAATAATTAACACCAGATATCCATTGAAGAATTGAAATTAAACTTAGCATACATTTAATAGAGATACTGTGCATTATTTGAAATACAAAATACACTCATGTCTATAAATTAAGGATAATGCAAAATCAGGCAAAGGAAGAGTTAGAAGCAAAATAAATTTGACTTATTTGTAAAGCTTGTTTATTAAACAAAAGATAAAGAGCAAAAAAAAGATGCTATATGTTTGATATTATTAAAAAAATTAGCGATTTTTTTCTCTCCTGGAATAAATTACAAAAAAAAAAAAAAAAAAAAAAAAAAAAAACTTATGTACAAAAAAAAAACCATTATTACATGGTTGGTTATGATTGTATGTCTCCCAGACGATGCAATACAGTCCGTACAACTCCTAGGCATCTGAGTATCAAATTATCGATCTGATCTTGGGGGATATTACACCACTCAAAAAAGCAATGCACTCCGAAGTTCCGGTAGACATGTAGAGGAGGTTGACGGGCTGCAACTCGTCGGCCAAGCATGTCCCACACGTGTTCTACTGGTTCAAGTCTGGTGAGAATGCTGGCCAGTCTGTACGGGTGATATCCTCCGATTGAAGGCATTCGCTTACGATATTTACACGGTGAGGACGGGACGTTGTCATCCATAAACACAAAGTGTGCGCCCATGGCGCCCCGAAACAAATGTACATTTGTTCCAGAATGACGTCCCGATAGATTTGGCTTGTCATGATTCCAATTTGAACATGCAGGTCAGTTCTGGAACCCAGAATAATTCCACCCCAAACGAGCACTCCTGCACCCCGTAACGGTGTCGTTCAATGATGCTTTCTTGGTGGTAACGGGAATACCTGGAGCTCTCCATATGAAAGTCCGGCGAGAATCAGACTGCAAGCTAAACCTGGACTCGTCGGAAAAACATCACACAAGCCCACTGTTGCGGTGTCCACAGTGCATGCTCTCTACTCCAGGCTAATCGCAGACGACAGGGAGTTGCAGTAAGTGGAACGCATCTGACACGTCTACGAGCATATAGACCAATCTGCCCTAAGCGTCTATACACGGTCTGCCTTGAAATTGTCGTACCAGTGGCTGAAAAGAGCTGACGAGACAGGTCTGAGGCTGTGCTCCGCCTGTTTCTTTTGACAGTAACTGCCAAATACCGGTCCTCACTCGGCGTTGTAACTCTGGGGCGACCTGTGCTGTAACGTCCACTCACATTACCATCATCTTGGAATCGTTGCCAAAGCTGGCCACTCTGGGCAATTCCAAGTTCGTCTGATACTTCCAGTTGGGTACGCCCACATTCCAGACGGCCGATATTCTACCATGTAAAAAATCATTCAAATGCGTCTTTGTGTCATAACTATTCGGTTATTACACTTAAATGCTTATAAAGCGCCTGCGAACAATTTTACTTCTTTGCCTGTATTCCTTATATATCACTCTCTCACACTCTCGCCATTGTGACGTACCATTGGTGTCATCTGGTTATTTCCTGAAATTTGCATATGATTCTTGAAGATATGTGTAGTGATTTTACAGGTGATATATTTATTTTAGAGTTTGATTTACGCGTGACTCCGAATTATCCTTAATTTATGGACATGAGTGTAGTATAAACTTCGTTAAATGAAAAGCAAGGTAAGAAAAAGTTTTAAAAAAATGTTTTTTCGTTGAAACGGTTTTTAAACTGCTAAGGAAAATAATGCTTCCGTCGAAATGATGAAAGATGCAAATTTTTCAGCAAAGCTTCTGACCTCCTTCTGAATTCTAAAACAGTTTAGGAAGCTGTCGTAAAGCTGCTGAGAAGAGTCTGGCTGGAGTTTTTTTATTTTTTTTTATTCGTGTACCAAGACGATTTTAAATTCCTGCATAGTTTGTGATGAGCGATTTCGATGTGCAACTCGTTTATTAAAAATATTCCAAAAATGCTTCACGGCATTTGATTATGGTGGATATGTATGACATCCATGCGATCACCATCTTTCCTTTCTTGTGTCTCGGGGCACGTCAGCTGTATTGAGTTGGCAGGCATTGTCATTTGTCAACAGAAAGTCTGGACCACTGCATCACGATAAAAACGGACATGGTTAAGGGAAATCTCGGTGCAGCATCATTCGTATGTTGATGTTTTATGTAGGTCAAAGGATATAAAGTATTGTTCTACCATTGTTCCTAATGCCCCCTCGGAAAACTTGTATAAGTGAATATGATCCATTCGCCAGAATCTGGCAGATACGTGATCATCATTAATAAATATCGTCGTTTGCTCAAGTGCTGGACGCAGATGATGGTGACAAATTGCATCATCCTCCATGTCATAATGAGAACGCTGTTACGTATCCCCTGCGACGTTAGGGATAGAAGGTACTGGAGGTACTAACCATAGGTACTAGCCATAGTCATGAAATATGAATCTCTTCACCAAAATCAAAGAACCTCTGCGCAGAATCCATTACAACAGTGAATCTGTGGTACTATAGGCTAGTCGCTGCGAGATCTCAAGAGAAGTATACGTGCTGATGGTTTACGACGACTTCCAATAGGTTGGCAGAAGGTGGTAATCATTGGAAGCGATAATATTAATGGACTGTAAGTGTTTGGATCTATGCTTAAAATGTCTTTCCGAAATATCCGCGTGTTGCAATTACTTTTTATCCAACTTTATGCAGATATCTTATGGATTTTACATCATATGGGTACAACCTTTTTATCCAACTTTTACACTTTTTAGCCGTCACAAACGGTCTTTGCATAAAAATTGGAGAACAAAAGTCGCTTTTAAAAGAAAATGATTTGCCTGCTTGGAAAAGTGTTATGTTTAAAAATGCCAAAACGTATCGCACATCACCAATACGTAAGATATGGAAGACTCCTGAAAAGTCATTCTGTATGTAGGTGGATATACATTAAGGAAGTAGAGTGTGTAGGTGGATATACATCAAGGTGATAATCAGCTTCGTGCCACGTATTTTATAGCTGCTCAAGTCTCATGAAATGCATTGCTGCAACAATTCGCTGACAAATATTTTATAATGTGATAGGTATAACATTAACAGTGTACAATAAGTAACGTTGAAGCATTACATTGATTTAGTTACACCATTGATTTAGTTAATTAATTTATAGAAAAGGGTACATTAGTAGTCAGATGGTAAATCTTGAACAAATGTTATATAATACAGTGATGATTGAAATTTTTCCCAGTAAATTCTTACCATCATCATATTTGATATTTAATAGTTCATGAAAGGAAATTCTGAAGCTGGTCTATTTAGTGGTTTGTTAAGAAATGACTATAGCATTTATTTAAATGAAAATCATTTCAGAGAATAGTAAAATGGCTATTTAACCTAACTGTACAACCTCATATTTCTTAATGTGTGGCATAGTTATTGCAAATAATTTAATTGCTGTTACTCAAACTTCAACGAATTATCTTCAAGCCTCTTATACAAACTATTCAAACTATACAGCTTCTCGGTAAATAAAGTGAATAAATTATCTCTTCCATTTTCCGCAAACAAATAAAAGAAAAAGCACTGGTTAAGCTCGTTTACAAACATTTAACAGCTTTACCTGTCCCTTTCTTGCGAACAAACCTTGACACACCTGTTGATGGACATTCCCCACGTAAAAGTTACAGTTGATCTATCAACCGCGACCAAAACCGTTTTAAGTCCAAAGAACATTACTGACGTTACCACTCATTTACCGGTCTTAAATTTTTATTCTTTATTTTGTTTTATCCAAGCTATATCTCGCAGACGATATTCTTCTTCTTTCTACAATAAAGTTAAATGCGTACTGGTTCGTGATAGGTACTTAAACTTTCTTAGTTATTTTTTAAATTTTGAATGAAATTGATATTGTGCATAATATGTATCTTGCAGGGAGGATCTTCTCCTTAGCATTATAATAAACCTTCATGGATAAGTGATTGTTTGTAAGGGAATGTAATACAAATGACATGGAAAAATTATATTATAATTAGTTCTGGTATAAATTTGCTTTGCTTCGAAAGAGTCATGACACGCAAAAGATTATAATAAAGCATTATAATAAAGCATGAATTTAATTTTCCATTTTTCGTTGTGGAAGGTAGTCATTAAATGCATTTACGA